GGATTTATTGCTTGAGTCATGTTATTTTCTGGTGTGATTATTTTTCATTATATTTTCCTTTGAGAGTCTGGAGACTATCCCTTCTCGAATTGGGACTTGATGTACACTTTTTCATTCTAAATTCAATCAATTCGACTCAAGCTTTATCAGATTCCCTTTTAAAAATTATGCTAGGTCCAGGTAGGGGTAATGAAATTTTAAAAAGCTAAGCTCAAAGGAAAGCCTGAAAGGGTCACATGAGCACTCATGATCATTACATGCATGATCAAAGGAAAGCCGGAAGGGGAATAGTGATGTTTTGAAATCTAATAATTGCTCTCAAAAGGCAAATGTATTCAATTCATGGATTGTATTAACTGTACATGGACTTGAATATATTTCAATGTATTTTACTATCGGGATTTGTTTATATTCTAAAAATTCCAGAGATACTTCTAACATCAATAATTGATTACAAAATCTGGTATGTTGGGTTGTACTTTGTACCCCTGTGGATATACCTATGGATCTGAATGTTTAATTCCTTCCGGTATAGAGTTGCTCATAGAGTAGAGAAATACAACTGCCATCGAAAAACTGAATTATCTCACAATCACTTGAGCATGCACATTTCATTTACCATTAAATAAGCAGTCAATTCCTTAACAAACAATGTAATGATCATTCGCATGCTACTATACGAGTTTTATGTATATCGAAAACACATTAGGGCAAAGATTACTCTATGAAGATAAGGTCATGGCAATATTGTGGCATACTACGATCATGTTAGGGGCCACATCGGGGTATTATATCTTGATAGATGGGAACTTAATCCTGTGGAAGAGCAGAAACAAGATTCGGTTACCAAATCAAGTGCAGAAGCAGAATACAAATAAATGGTGGCTCGAGCTGCATGTGAGAGCTTAATGGTTCTCAATGAAACACAAACTCCTCTTCCCAGAAATATTATATGGGAGCAAAGAACCAATTTGGTTAAAGTGAGATTTTCAAGCATCAGTACACATCACATCAAGTACACTAGTACAGTCTGAGATGATCAGCCACACCCACATTGAAATTGATTGTCAATTTATCCGAGAGAAGATCATAGTCACCCACTACATCAGTACTCATCAAACAAAATCACTTAGAGGTACCACAAAAACTTGCATTTGTAAAAACTTTCAAACAAATTATATATGCTCCAGCATGAGAAAGTGTGGAATATTGTTAAGAAATATAGAGTATGATGCCATCAATGTCATTAAAATAAATTCGCAGCCTATATATCCCTTAATTCTTCTTCATTTTCTATCAAGATAAAGAAATATTATCTTAACTTTTCACAAAGTTCAATTGAAAAAACAAGTTTAAGCAAAAGATGCTAGTGTGACACTACGTCACTACTGCGAAAGTTGTGGAATTTAAGTTTCTAAGTTCAGACCTCAAGTTCATGTTTTTACAATTTTCAATATTAAAGATTCATTATCCTTTTATATTTGAAAATTTGAAACGTAGAACATACTTTAATATGCTCTAGCTT